CCCCAAGATGAGTCAGACCTGGCCTTTGTCCAGGATGAAGTCACAGTCTGGTGGGGAGACAGGTGTGGACACAGGCAGTGACAATGACAAAGCGGTGTGCTCAGAGCTGGGACAAAGAGAAACCCCAGGGAGGGGCCCCTAACATAGACCGAGATCAGGAGGGTGGGGGTGTGCCCTGGGGGAGGCGGAGGCCTGACCTGCATTCTGAACATGAGTTCATCAGGGTGCCCAGCTATGGAAGGCACCTAAGGCAGGGAAAACAGCACCTGCAGAGTGACAGTCCTCTAGAGGGAGCGGTACGGCTAGGAAGAGGGCCTGGCACGCAGCGAGCACTCAGCAAACATCTTTTGAATGAATGAATGCATGAGAAGAAGTTTGGTGTAGTTAGAGTATGGGACTGGAAAACACCGGGCGGGGGCTGGAAATGGAGAGTCTTAAAGATCATACTAAGGAGTTTGGTGAGTCCTAGGCCAGAGGGGAACAGGGGAAGTGGAGGGACATGGCCCAATATGCCTTTGAGGAAGACCTCTCAGGAGGCGGGGGTTGAACACACATCGGGAGTAGAGTTGTTAGGTCAAACATAGGACCCTCAGTCAAATGTGAATTACAGATAAACAGTGAACAATTTTTTTGGCATTAGTGTACTTTTATTGCTAAGCCTGGTGGCTGTGATTTGCAGTGGGAGTGGGAGGTGTGGGGAGGTGGATACAGGAGAGGAAGGCCAGGGCAGCCATCCCGGGGGAGGCAGTGCTGGCCTGCACAGGGCAAGGGCATGGGAGGATAGGAGGGGACAGCAGAGATCATTGGTATTTGTTTGCTTATTTTTTTTCATGAAAACTTGTTTTTGAAATATAACATGCATACAGGAAAGTGCACCAATCATAAAAATATTCCTCAATAAATTATTGAAAGTGAACGCACGCGGGTAACTACCAGGTGAGTCCACAAACAGGACGATGTTCTTGTGCCCTTCCTGCGCTGGGTTGGGACTCCTCAGTTCCACCTGTGCTGTTCATGCCTGGCCTCTTTTGTTCAGTGTTGTATCTGTGAGAGTCCTCCATGGGGCTGCATGTAGTAGCAGTGGCTGGCCACTCTCATTGCTGTATTGCATTCTGTTGTGTGAAAGGATCACAATTGACTTTCCCTTTTACTGTTGGTGGGCATTTGGGTAATGTCCAGTTTGGGGCTTTAGGAACAGTGCTACTTTGAACATGCCAGAACCTGTCTATGGGGGTGCATTTGTCCACAAGTATACAGGATACATTCAGTGATATGCTGGAGCCACGTGCATTACATGTGGCTGGGCGCGGTGGCTCACGCCTGTAATCCAGCATTTTGGGAGGCCGAGGCAGGCCGATCACTTTGAGATCAGGAGTTTGAGACAAGCCTGGGCAACATGGTGAAACCCTGTGTCTACTAAAAATACAAAAATTAGCTGGGCGTGATGGTAGGCGCTTATAATCCCAGCTACTCCAGAGGCTGAGGCAGAAGAATTGATTGAACCCGGGAGGCAGAGGTTGTAGTGAGCCGAGATCGCACCACTGCACTCCAGCCTGGGTGATAGAGGCAGACCCCATCTCAATAAAAGAGTCCATTACATGCATCTCTTCCCAACTCTGCATTCTGGGGCATCACGTTGGTAGTTTCAAATAGGCCATAGTGGGATTATTGACACCATAGAAATTGGCAAATGCTACAAATCAGGACTTTTCCTTTCTTTCTTTCTTCTTCTTCTTCTTCTTTTTTTTTTTTTTTTTTTTTTTGATGAGCTCTCACTCTGTGGCCCAGGCTGGAGGGCAATGGTGCTGTCTCAGCTCACTGCAAGCTCTATCTCCCGGGTTCATGCCATTATCCCGAAGAATCATTTAAACATGCAAGGGTTTCACCACGTTGGCCAGGCTGGTCTCGAACTCCTGGTCTCTGGTGATCCACCTGCCTCAGCCTCCCAAAGTGCTGGGATTGCAGGCGTGAGCCACCATGCCCGACCTTTTTTTTTTTTTTTTTTGAGAGCTGGTTGTTAAACATTTACCAGCACACCACTGGATATGTCCCTAAGAGTAGATTGCTGGTTCATAGCAGATGTTCAGCTTTAAGTGTGACACAGTGTTCCAAAGTATTTTTACCTAGTTATACTCCCCCAGCAATGTGTGAGCTCCAGGTGCTTCACATTGTCATCATGGAGAGGTTTTTGTGAGGTGTAGAGAAGTTCACTGTTGGGAGGAAGGGGAAGGCGGGTCATTCACGGGAATGTCCACCGTCTGGCTGGGCTTCTGGAGGGCAGAAGTGCCATTTCTGAGACAACCTGGGGAGAGCAGGTTTGAGGATGGATGGGCATGGGGAGTCTGCAGGGCCTGGGGACATCCAGGGGTTATCAGCTGTGTGTGTGTGCGTCGCATATCTGTTCACCTGCTGCCCCTTCATCCCTGCCCCAGGCTTCACCCCTGTGCCTCTCCTGGCCCCCATCCTCTCCATAGCCTCCCCCTTCTACCTCCTCTTCCCCTGAGTCTAGGGTTGTGAGGGCACCTGCAGTGAACCTGGCTTTGATGGTCCCTTCCACCCCAGGCACTGCCATGATTCAGTGTGAGACCTGAGACAGGTCATGCTCCACTCTGGACCTCAGTGTCCCCTTCTGTACACTGGGATCCTGGGCAGAGGTTGTGAGGGGCAGACCTCCAGGTCCTGGTCTCCAGGGACTACAGGCTCCTGTTCTCCTCTGCATCATGGTTTGTGAAGCTCTTCACCCCTTCCAGAGTGAACCGCTTGCTGAGCCCCAAGCATTTGTGGCCTCGCCACCTGCTTATTATCTAAGATTTGTTGAGGGCTTTGCAGTGAGAAACACCTTACTTCTTCTGCTCCTCCCGCAGCCCTGTTCTCTCTGAACCTGGGGCCGAGGTCCAAGCATTTGCTGGGGCCAAATGGCCTTGGGAGTGGCTGAGTCAGGATGCAAACCTGGATCTGGGATGACAGTGTCCAGGCTGGCAGAGCCATAGGCAGTGCCAGGGCATGCTGACTCGGCTCCCCTGTGGCCAGCTGAGGTCCTGGCACAGAGATGTCGCTGGAGGTCTGTTGAATCAAAGAACATCCTGCGCCTGCCCCGCTCCTTCGTGCAGGGCTGGACAGACAGGAGGCCTTGGAGGGGGCCTGCGGATGGGCTGACTGTGTGGTCGGGGAGGCGGGCGCACAGCTCTGACCAGCTGGGTCGTGGGGGTGGTGCATAGACGACTCGGAGACCATGGCCCATTTCACCCGAGCAGTTCTCTGCGAAGCCAGGAAGTGGTTTGTATTTTCAGAAGGAAATGAGCAGGACTTGCTCGTGGGGAGCTCTAGACAGCTCTGGGAAAGGGCTCCAAGGGAAACAGGCCCCGGAGGGGAGGCCAGCGCCAGCCCCTCCCTGTGAGGCGGGCAGGTGTTGACCAGCAGGGCTGACAAACGAGCTGACCGTGTCCCTTCCCTGACACTGTTGAGAGATGCCTCCCTCCAGAGGGGGTTTCTCTGGCTCAGAGAGTCCAGGAGGTGCACATGGGCCAAGCAGGAAGGGGAAAGGGGCCCAGACTCCTTTCACCACCTCAGGGACCCCACAAATCAGGACTGGCAATGGGAGGGCCAGGTCTGCTGCTGTCCTGCCTGGGAGGTGGAGCAGGAGGTACCAGAGCGGGAGGAGAACTGGCTGGGGCTATTCAGAGATCAGAGTAACCCTTCGATTCTGCTATTCATCCATCCTTCCTTCCACCTTTCACCCTGTTCCACACCAACCCCAACTGAGGTCCCCGTGCTGGGAGTGCAGACACGGAGATGGAGATGGAGCAGGCTCAGGCTCTGACTCCAAGGGGCTCCAGACCTGGTGTGTGCATAGGGGGTTGGGTGGGAGGCTGACTAGGAGGGAGTTAATGACACAGGGTGCCCTGAGGCTGGTGACCAGCCCTGCCTGAGGCACACCAACAGCTTCAGAAGAGGGTAAGCTGTGAGTTAGCTCTTGATAGGTGTAGGAGGCCATCAGGGGAGCAGGTGGGGAAGTGACCCTCCAGGGCACTGTGGGTGGGTTCTCAGGCCCCAGGGAACTCTAAGGAGGAAGTGAGGGGCAGGAGGGGGTTGCAGGCCTGGGCTGGCAGGAGAGCAAATCCCTGTGTTCTGGTTCTGCCTTAGCCCCTGATGGTTCTCCGTGTTGGGCCCACCAGAAGCAGCCTCCACCCTGCCCGGGAGGGGGAGAGGAGCTCTGAACACAGCCCTGGGCAAAGTCTTAGGCCCGAGGCAGGCGCAGCTCCCTGCTTGCTTTGCCTTGCTCTGAGATCTGAGTGGTGCTGCTTTCTGCCACCTCGACCTCATGGGAGAGGCTGAGGCAGGAGAATCACTTGAACCCAGGAGGTGGAGGTTGCAGTGAGCTGAGATTGGGCCATTGCGCTACAGCCTGGGCACCAAGAGCAAAACTCTATCTGGAAAAAAAAAACTTTTCTCCAGCCTTAGAGCAAGGCCAGGGCATGCTTGCCCATCACCCTGCTGCACAGTCCAGGCCCTGGCACAGAGAACTGCACACTCGGTCATCTCTGCTTCTCTTTTTCAAGGGTTTCTGACCCTACACAGAATGGCTGCCTCACCTCCCATCCTCATTCCAGGCCCTTGCGCTCCAGCCACACTGGCCTTGAACCTGCTCCTTCTTGCCTCAGCCTCCACAAGCTCTTCCCTCTGCCTGGGGTGCCCTCCCCTGGCTCCTCCTCTGACAAATTCGCTCTCTTCCACCCCTCCCTGCAGAGCTGTCTCCATGGTGGCCATCTGTGAGGCTATGACCGTCTCCCTCAGGCGATTCTCCTGCCTCAGTCTCCCTAGTAGCTGGGATTACAGGCATGCGCTACCACACCTGTGGTAAATAAAAATAATTTTGTATTTTTAGTAGAGACAGGGTCTCACCATGTTGGCCAGGCTGGTCTCATACTCCTGACCTCAGGTGATCTGTCCGCCTCAGCCTTAAAGTGCTGGGATTATAGGAATGAGTCACTGCATCCGGCTGAAGAAAAGAATTTTTAAATAATTCACCATGGCTCCTGGATAACAGGGATACCAGTAAGGAGACTTTTGCAAGTCCAGGTGACCGGTGGGGGGACTTGGTGCTGAAGGTCATTCCCAGATGTCCAGCTTGATGCCAAGGGGGCTGTGGGTATGAGATGGGAGACTTTGGGAGGCAACTATAGAGAGGGGTGCCAGAGGTGATGAGCTGGTCTTGGAAGGTAGAAGAACCTGTGGGATGTCAGGTGGCCTATGTGGCTCTGGAAAGAGAGGCCTGAGATACATAGAGAGGTAGAGATAAAGATTGCCCAGGAGAAACGGCCAGAGAGTATAGAAGGGCTCAGTGCAGAGCGTGAGTCGCTCCTGAAACTTTGCCTCCTTATTACCTCCCTGTTCCTGTGCAGACCAGGGCCTCTGCCCCTCCCTGGGCTCTGGGCCTCCAGTCTCACCCATTCCAAGTCATCCTTGCCAGCAGCCAGGAGGGCCCTGCTGCAATGCCAACGAATCGCATCTCTCCAGCAGCACCACCGTGCCTGAGCCTGGCTTTCTCTGGCCCCTTCTAGAATCCAGTGCCCTCCCTGCCCTTCCACCCTATGCTGCCCCCCAGTGAACAGTTAGATGTGTCATTCTGCAGCCCTTCTGGTGGCTTCAGCCTTTGGGGCTTTGTGTGTTTTCCCACTGTGAGGCAGGAACCCCCACTCCCCTGTCCATCTGATGAATCCCACTCATCTTTCAAGATTCAGCTCAGTGCCACCACCTCTGAGAAGCCTTCCTTGGTTAGCCCATTTTCCCACAGAGTTAGATCCCCTTCCCTGGACACCCCAGCCTCCTATATGCTCAGATCACTGTGTTTCAGAGGGTGTCACCTTTTGCCATCCCCAACAGCCTGGGAGCCACCTGAGGGCAGCTCACAGGCCAGGCAGGAGCTCAGGAGGGGAGCTGAATCGTAAGGCAAATTAAGTCTCTGTCTAGCAGAAACCTGGCCAAGGAGATGTGCTGGAGGGGTTTCAAGTCTGAGGGAGTGTGGTGGGCACACAGTGCTAGGCCACCGCTAGGCTCCACAGAGAGAATGAGAAAGTGGGAAGATTGGAGGTAGGAGACATTAGCGTGGCTAGGGCCCAGCAGGTCCCTAGGGAAGACGGATGCCCTTCCCATTTGGCATGTGCGTGCTGGTGAGGATTGGACAAGCTGAGAGAAGCCTGGTATGCGGAGGGCAGTATGAGGAAAGGCAAGATGGCAGCACTACATGGAGACCCAGTGTCGGGGCAGAGAATGGCAGGAAGTGACACTGGGGAGAGGGCTTTTGGAAGGCCCATTAGAAACAGCTGTTCCTCTCGAGGCTCATCTCGGCTGGGCCCTGAACTTGGTGGTGTCTTAGTCTGTTCAGGCTGCTACACCAGATCCCCATAGACTGGGTGGCTTAGACAACGAGCTGGCACTTCTGGAGGCTCTAAGTCTGAGCTCCAGGTGCCCGCAGGTCGGTGTCTGGTGAGGGCCTGCCTCCTGGTTCGCAGATGGCTATGTTCTCCTTGTACCCTCACACGGTGGAGAGCAGAGCGAGAGGAAGTAAGCTCCCTGGAGTCTCTTCTTATAAGGGCACTAACCCATCACAAGGGCTCTGTCCTCCTAACCTAATTACCTCCAAGTGGCCCCATAATAACATTGCACTGGGTGTTAAGGTTTCAACATAGAAATTTGGAGGACACACATGCAGTCCATCACGGTGGGGACCTGCGGAACTCATCTAAATCCCACAGCCTCTGAGGTAGGTACTGGTGTCCTCCCCACTGGATGACCTGGCATGGAGAGACCTGACCACCTGCTCAGGTCAAAGCAGGGAGCAGGGTGTCTGACTCCAAGGCCCATGCTCATGACTGCCACCCCCTGCTGTCTCCTCCCCACCCTGCTGTCTCCTCCCCACCCTGCTGTCTCGGTCCCACCCTGCTGTCTCTGCCCCACTTTACAGAGGGGGATACTGAGGTCCAATCGTGCAGTGACTTACCTGGGGGTGCCCAGCAGGTCCAAGGAAGACAAGTGCAGCCAAGCTGAGCTCAATCACCCAGTCGGGCCTCGTTTGGCTGCACCCTCGACCACAGGGCCCCTCCTCAGTGCTGCTAGAGGAACTTCAGAGGCGGCATAGCTGGCAGAGGTGGGCGGGGCATGTGGCCTGGCACCTCTGCAAAGACAGACCCCAGCCCCAGCGGCCACTTTGAAGGAGGCTGAGGGCAGGGGTGGGGGCTGTGGAATTCACGGAATGGAATGTGAATTGTCTCCAGAACTCCAGGCTGGGAGGGCCACAGGATGAAGGGTTGGGAGAACAATAGGGGCCTAGGGAACTGGGGCTCCTGGGACAGACAGGGCCGGGCAGGGAGGGACAGGGCTGGGCTCGGCTGAGCAAGGCCCTGGGGTGCAGGTGGCTGAGGTGAAACCACAGACCAGACAGGGAGCAGCCTCCTTTCACCCAGATCCCACGGGTGCCAAGCACACTCAGCACCTGCCCCCAGGAGGAGACCGGTCCTGACACCCTCCTTGTGCAGGAGGCTGAGAGGGCCATGCATGCTCTCACTGCCACGAGCTCACTGGGCCGCAGCAGCCTGTGGGATGGGCCTAGTGGTGATCATCATACCATTGCATGGATTGGGAAGCTGAGGCTCAGAGAGGCATGAATTACCCACAGCCCCTCAGAACGTCAGCGACATGCGCCCTTGATTCAGCAGGTTTTCTCGAGACAGGGTCCCTCTCCCTCTCACACCCAGGCTGGAGTGCAGTGGTGCCATCACAGCTCACTGCTGCCTCGACCTTCCAGGCTCAAGCGGTCCTCCTGCTTCAGCTTCCCAAGCAGCTGAGACCATAGGCGCACGCAGCACCATCCCCGGCTAACTTTTTACATTTTTTGCAGAGATGGGATCTTGCCATGTTGTCCAGGCTGGTCTCGAACTCCTGGGCTCAAGTGATTCTTCTTCCTTGGCCTCCCAAAGTGCTGGGATTCCGGGTGTGAGCCACTGCGCCCAGCCCAGTGTTTTGTCAGCACCCTATGGAGCTTTCCCACTGGGACCCACAGACCCTGGGGGAGGCTAATCAACTCAGGGCAAAGACGCCATCAGCTTCACAAGGGTGGGATTGGCTCCCTGGAGCAGTGTCTGAGTGCCAGGCAGCCAGGCAGGGGTTCCCACACGCTTCCACTCCCTCTCCATCCCTCCCTCCCCTTCCCCCTTCTCCTCTCCTCCCTCCTGAGACTAACAATTCATTGGCTCAAGCAGCGCTGGCAACTCTGCAGAGCCTGTGGCCTCCATGGTAGGCCATGTGGTATGGTAAGTTCATTCTCACCTCTCACATTCCTTCTGGGGGCAGCAGCCCTGAAAGAGAAAGGGTGAGGGCTTTGGGGTCAAGTCCACTCTGCGGCTTCCTGCATTATGCCCTTGGGGAACCCACTTCACCTCTCCTGCCTCCTTTGACAGCTGCTGCAAGGGTTTCATGAGCTGCCTGCAGTTATAAGAAAACCCTAGGCCCTGGATGCAGTCCCCTCTCCCCAACCCCATGTCCTCCCCCAGGCCTTTCTCTCCAGCCCCTCTGCCCCCAGGGTAGTCAACAGAGTTAGTGGCACGGGCCAGGTTGAGGCCAGGGCTGTGCTGAGGCAGAGGGGTCCAGGAGTCCCGTGCACAGGAGTCCAACCTCTGTCTTCAGAGTGGGTGACCCCCTGGGGGTGTCAGCCAGGGTCCTGCTTCGTGTCCCTAGTAGGGGACAGTGGGTTCTCTGACACACAGAATGCTGCTCATCCCTGGCCCAAAGCCTGTTTTAGGGTAGAGCTGACCGGCTGCTCCCTGGGAATTCTGCTATACTGAGTGCTGAACACGCACACTTAGAGCACCCTCGCTCCATCTCACAGTCTGTGACACTGTCTGAGGCCGTCTCTTGCTGCTATCACGGACACCATAGACTGGGTCACTTATAGAGAACAGAAATTTCTTTCTTGCAGTTCGTGAAAGCCCTGTCCACACCCCAAGGCTACACCAGGCCCCACATTCTGTGGCCACTGAACACCAGAGCCCTCCCGGCCCCTGCCCCAGAATGGGAGACCCTGGAGCCCCGCCAGGCTCCTATGCACAGGGTGGGTGCCCCTTTTCTGGGCCATCCTGATGCTTCTGTCAAGGCTCTGGAGTCCTCCCCGACCCCAGCACACTCTCCAGGCCTGCCGCCCTGGTCTCTCTGCCTTCTTCCTTGGCCTGGTGCTGTGCCTCTCACACTGTGGGCAGAGCCTCTTCCTCAAGCACCTGCGTCCTGTGCGGCGGCCTCCCCAGCACAGACCTCACGGGCATTCACCGCCTCACTGTCCCCCACGCGCCTCATCCAGCCTCCGCTCCCGCCACTGTGTCCCCACCGCATCTTGGTCTTTGAGCCACACCATGGGCCACCCTGGCACCCAAATGGGCCGGGTCTCCTCGGGCGTTCAGTGTGTTTTTCTCTCTGCCCGGAACTTTCCTCCCCAAAGCGAACATTTCCTAGGTGCCTCCTGTATGCCAGGCACCTATCAAAGATTCATCCCGAGGAGCCCTGTTTGTTTGGGGGTGATGTCTGCATCCCCTTGGAATGAGTGAGGCAGATTCGGAGGTGGGGAGCCTAGGGGAGGAAGTGGGTAGTCTGGGTGAGGGATGGGAGAAGCGGGCTGCAGGGAGATGGGGGGTGGGGAGTGCCTGAGACAGAGTTCCAACCCTTCCCTGGGCCTGTGTCAGCCGCAGGGCCCTGCAGATGTGACCCCCAAGCCACTGTCAGCATCACAGGGAGTCAGAAAGAAGTCCCCTGATGTAGATGGAAATCCTAGCATCCAGAGAGGGCCAGGGACCTCCACGGTCACATGGAGGCGGGGACAGGGCCTCCCCAGTCCAGCCCAGCACAACCTCCTCTGGTGCCCCTTCCCCCACCCCAGGGTCCCACCTAGGGGAGGGGTGGGCATAAGTAGCTGAGACCAGCCCGCTTGCCCAGCCTTTCCCAGAAACATCCCACAGAGTGCCAGGGCAGGCGGGCTCAAGGGCATCTGGCTTCCCCAGCACCCCCGCCCACCATGGACCCTGCACTTTCCCGTCTGTGATTTCTGGCAGCAGGAAGGAGCTGGCCGGGTTAGTATTATTTTCCTGGTTTGCCTAACTGCTATGATGGTCCCTAAAATCACACAGTGGGGCTGCTGCCATCCTGTTTGGGAGCCAGGGGCTCCTTATCTGAGCAGACCACAGCTCCGCTCCCACCTGGACCCTGGCCAGGACAGTCACACAGGTGCCCCGAGGTCATGTGTCAACAGCAGTGGTAGAAAGCTTGGGCAGGGGACCACCGAGGACACTCACACACATTGTCTTGCTGGACACTTCAGCCAGTGGGTCAACTGGGCAGAAACGGAGGCTCTGAGAGGGTAAGGGGCTCTCCAAAGACCACTCCACAAGTCCCAAGTTTCCAGGCCCTTGTGCTCTTTCTTCAGCCCCCATCCCAGACAGTGAACAGGGAGGTTCCAATGCCTTGGCCCCATCACGGGAGACCTGGCTGTTCCTGCTCCCTGCCTCCCCTTCTTCCAAGACGTGGCCAGAACCCAGCTGGGAGCAGGAGGCCGGGGTCCTCAGCAGCCCCTGGTATGGCAAGCTGTGTGAGTTCCCCTCTAAGTTCTGGACTCGTGGCTGCTCTGAGGACCCCTGCCCAGCAATGGCCGAACCCAGGCCCTCATCTCACTCCCCCCAACCCAGGCCCTCATCTCTCCACAGGGCATGAGGCCACCGAGTCTATCCGTGCTGGGAGTGGGAGACCTAAGGTAGTGGTCAGAGTCTCTCTCCGCCCACAGGACCAGTGGGCACCCCAGCAGTCTGTTCTAAGGAACCCCACTGTTCCCTGTTCTAGGGATAACAGAAGGCAGCAGGTGGTTCTGGGCCAGCTGAGTGGCCCAGGTGGCAAGCTGCAGGAAGGAATGGTCACAGGACGAGCAGGGCCCTGCAGCCTGGCTGGCGGTCCCCAAAGCCCTCTGTTGAATGTTGGCTTTGCAACTCAGGCAGTCTCCTCAGCTCCCCAGCCTCAGTATCCTCGCCTGGAAAGGGAGGAAGTGGTAGCACCTACTTCATGCAGTTGCCATGTGTCAGGGCCTACAAAGCACTCAGCAAGTGTCTGACACCTCGCAGATGCTTGACAAGATGCAGCTGAGTATTATTCTGAATATTTTTAAACAAGTGGTGGGCAGGGCCAGCTTCACTAGGAGCAGCCCTGGAGCTGAGGGCTGGTTCTGATTTAGAGGCAGGTGAGTCCCTCTCCACCGAGCACCCACCCACAGTGTCAGCCCACCATCAACTCCGCCCTGAACACCTCAAGGGGGTGTTACTGCTATCCCCGCCTGCAGGAGTGCCCTGTGAGGCTGCACACATTCGAGGGTAGATCTGGCTTTCTATGGGGTCCTGACGCTCATATGCCACACTCCACCCGGCCACTCATGTTTAACCCTGCCCTCTCCTTGCGAGGGGGTGTCTCTGAATATGTGGGCTACCCCAGGAGCTGCTGGTGCCCTGCCCTCACTCTGCTGTGGGGACCGGACCAGTCTTCTTGTGCCCAGCTCTTTCTGGCTCAGCACAGCTGCAGAGCTGTCACCTCAGCCTTTGATGACATCTTTACTTCTTGCACCCTGTTGTTCAAGCATCTGATCTAGCCCCTGTCTTCTCCCTCAGCCTTTGAACTTGACCAGGGTTGGGGCTGGGTCATCCACTGTCTGGGCTGCCCCACAGGTGCGAAGCTTCAGGCAATTCCTTCCCCAGCCACTGCCCCCTGTTTCACCCCCTCACATGCAGACACCTGCTGAGTGGTCTTCAATGACAATACATTCCCTCGGTCAGCAAATATTTGCCGCCTGTGGTTCAGCCCACCTGCAGGCCACCCAGGATAGGAGCAGAGGGGAGAGTGGCCATGAGCCAATAGCGGCAGGCTGCAAAGGACACCACTATCATCTCTGGCTGTATCACCAGAAATGTGGGGCCCAGGACCCTACATTTCTCCAAAGCAGGACATTGAAGGAATGTTCTACTTTGGAGAACCGCCTACTCTGGGCTCCATGGACAAACTGGAGCTTGTCCAGGGGAGGCAAAGTTGGATAGATCCTCCAATGCTTCCTGACATCTGGTTTTTGAGACTATTACATATGGACGATAGTATTTGAGATCATTTTAGGTGATTCATGAAACACAACATCGTATAGAATAGTGTCATA